GGTGTGAAGGTTCTTGAAAAACCAGAGAAGAAAGTGAAGGATACGAAAGGAAGGACTTCAAAGAGAATTGGGAAAAAACGAAAAATTGCAGATGATGTGGAGACAAATAATGATGATGAGGAGGGAGTGGGATTTGGATATGAGAGGAAAGTGAGTGTTGTTTTGAGACAAGTCAGGAAGCTGAGCAAAGAAAATGCCAAATTAATGGCAGAAATGAAAGTATTCAAGAAAGCATAGAAGAGGAATGAGAGATTTCTTAAGCAAATATTGGAGAAGTTGGATAACCAAGGGAAGGGGGAGGAGACAGTAAGTGAGGAGAGTAGAGATGAAAGCAGCAATACTGAAGATGATGAAAAATCAGAGAGTGGAGATGAATCAGAGAGTGGAGATGAGGCAGAAGATAATACTGAGGACAATGGCGTGGCTGAAGAAGATGATGCTGAAGACGATAGTGCAGATGAAGACGACGGTGCAGATGAAGAAGATGAAGCTGAAGATGATAGTGCAGCTGAAGAAGATGATGCAGCTGAAGAAGATGATGTTGAAGATGCTGGTGCAGCTCTAGTATATAATGTTGAAGATAATGATAATGTTGAAGATAATGTTGAAGGTGCTGGGGGAGCTCCACAAGATAATGATCAAGTGGATTGCAGTTTGCCAAACTTTAATATTTTTGGGCCAGAAACACAGGGAAACTTGAAGAAAGCAGATGATGGTGGAACAATGGAAGAAGAAGATGCAGTACACGACAATGGAAAAGTGGATGAAGAAGCTGCAAGTAAGATAGACAGAAATAATGAGAACACTGATAATGATGCTTGGGGAGATGTGAACACACAATTTCTCAATGAAATGATCACAAGTGTGGATGAAGTAGAAAAAAAATGTTAGGGAGTAATTCAGGTCAAGCGAGCACCACTGCTGAGATATATGCGAAAGCGGTAAGATTTTTTTGTACCTTAATCAATGCGAAAGCGAACACAACTGTTGGTGGATTTTTGATTTTTTTTCTTGTGTTTGTTTTAATAGCAAGATGCAGGAAAAGGAATTGAAGAGAGTGAGATGAAGGAAAGCAAAACCATGAGTAAAGCAGTGAACAAGGATGTAAGTATATTTTGGAAGAAGTTCAAAATATTTGAAAAATTGCCAACTATTTGGAAAAGGAAACTATAACAAAGTACTAAATTACAGGTGAAGACCATATGCGCACAAATGAAAAGACCAAAGCGCAATGCCAGGAGCCCAGACCGATATACACCTGCAGAAAATAAAGTTCAGGCTAAGAGAAGAAGGAAAGAAATAGCTAAGAAAAGGGAAGAGGATAGTTATTTTCCTCCAAGACAGTATGGACCATTCGCGGAAGACCCGACTGAGCGACCACCAGAAGAAGAAATAAAAAAGGTTGAACAATATCTACAAGTTGGACTCTTGAAAAGATTGAAGAAAAAGGATTCTGACAGAAGGTACAGGATCGATGAGGATAAAATGCACAATGTACCATTTCTTCTGGATATGCACAAAATAGAGTCCAAAACTTGGTTGTATAAGTTGTTTGTCAATCCAGAATGGCTAAATGATACGGCAATTTCTTACTTTTACTATGAAAACAGTATGTTGTACATTCCAATGTAAAAATGACATTAAAGTAGGTACTATATTAGATATATAACATTTGATTTTGGTTTTAAATTTGTTTGCAGCATATAGATAGGGCAATGTTTTACCTGAATATGAAACAAGTACACTACAACATCAAGGCCCCCAAATAAACCACATCTGGCCCATTTTTTATGCAAGTGATGAGGCGTGAAAATGATGAAATTAAGAAGGGTGAGGCATCAATACAAAGTGTAGCAGACAATCCGGTAATTGCAAACGATATCTTAGGGATTGCATATCCTTTTGATTGAAGTTGGGCTCAGTCAGATTTCGTTTACATACCTCTCAATACTGGAAACCACTGGGTACTGCTAGTTCTGGAAGTAAAAGAAAGAAAAATGAGGATTTGTAACTCCAACAGCAGAAGAAGGGCAGATTCTTTAAGGGAAATCAGACCTTATGTGCCCAGCATTGAGTGGTTGCTTCCAAAAATAATGGACTTCCATGGAGTGTATGAAGAAATTGGGCAAGAAACAATGAATGACAAAAGGAATGAGTTGGAAGCTGTGGAGGACTGCCCACAACAAGATGATGGGTAAAATAAGAGTTCTAAACTATAAAGCTGGACTATATAATAATTTATAATATTTCATTCAAAAATTATTTTAGTTTTTTAACAGTGTGTCATTATCACAGGGGGAACTGTGGCATGTACGTTTTGAAGTTCGGTGAATTTCTTGTGATGTGCATGGACATAAAGGAGGTAAGCTCAATGGAGATGGGCATGTATCGAGAGAAAATGGCAACCGAGTTGGTTTTGTATAACGCAAAGAGGACAAAAGAATGCCAAATGAAGAATGTGGCTTAGAGAAAAATGGCAGCCAAAAGATGAAAAAGGACAAGTGTAGTCTGATGATGCTTTACGGATGTTATGTTTTTAATATTTGAATATTTTGTAATGGTGTTTGAATGTTTTTTGAAAACTGTTGACGTAAACTTACTACAGTCATGCACAATATGCTGACAATACATGTGGCAGAATCGAGTATACTATGTTTTTAAATGCCTAAATATTGGCATATTTGCAAAAAAATTATATTTGGTTCATTATGTAGTAACGTGGATATAGATTTTTTTTTTTACTTATGAGACAAGTATTAAACTAAGATCTGAAAACGGTAACAGGTATACAACTCTATAGTAATCATGTTCATAGTGGCAAATATATATATATATATATATATACATATATATATGTATATACATATAGGAAATCTTTCCGGTAAGGTATACCTTACCGGAGCCGACGTGCGGCCTCCACGTTTTGAGGGCCTTCCCGGTAGAATTTTTAGATGAATTTTTTTTAGCATATTCTTCATCAAGTCTAGTACATCCATACCAAATTTCAGCAAAAAAATCAATCGGGAAGGCAGCCAAACGATTTTTGAAAGATAACTGCGTTTTATATGTATATAAAGGGTGCAGTTATCTTCCAAAAATCATTTGACTGCCTTCCAAATTGAATTTTTTGCTGAAATTTGGTAAGGATGTACTAAACTTGATGAAGAACATGCTAAAAAAATTTCATCGAAAAATTATACCGGGAAGGCCCTCAAAACGTGGAGGCCGCACGGCGGCTCCGGTAAGGTATACCTTACCGGAAGGGTTCCCTATACATATATATATATATATATATATATATATATATATATATATATATATATATATATATATATATATATATATATTGTGTTTAAAAATGCCAAAGTCTTGACAGTTTTGTAAGATAAATGTTTTATATTGTCAATTGGATATACATTGGGGGGGTTTATGAATGACACAAGTATTACATTAAAATCTGAAAAGGGTTAATAGGTACAAGAATCGATTATAATCATAAGTCAGTAGTGTCAAAAGGATGTATAGTTTGTTTGAAAATAACTAATTATTGGTAGTTTTATGAGATAAAATGTATTAGATTTATTATATAGTCACTTGCATATACATTTTGGTTTTTTCATTAATCAAAAAAGTATTACACTAAGAACTGAAAAAGGTTAACATCTAGATAACTGAATTATAATGACAAGTCAATACATTCATTTACTTTTGAATGAATGCATAGAATGCAAAAATATGTGGCAGAATGCAGTGTGCAATGTTTAAAAATTCAGAAATATTGGCAGTTTAGAGGAATAAATCATAGCAATTGTAAACATTGTCACACAAAACAACATACTACCTAAAAATTAAGATCAATGGCAAAACATTTGACATTTAAAAAAGAAAAGAAAAGAGTAACACAAATGTTAAGTAAGAGTAACACAAATGTTAAGTAGTTTACACGTATTTATTAAAAAAAAAGGCGTAGAAGTATAATATGCCCTAAGAAAAAGGTCCAATACAAATATAACAAGTGTTGAATTCAATGGAATCATAATCAAGTAGCTAGCGGCATCACATTGCGACAAGTCTTCTTGTTGTGACCAACGATGTGGCAACGAGAACATTTTTGCCGCTTCGTCCCACGATGCTCACCAATAGAAGGTATCCTTGACTTTCTTGGACGACCAGCTGGCCTTTTCTCACACAGGGGGGCGTGCAACGAATGCTCAAAACATTGGGAGGAACCAACCAAGATGATGGGTCTATAATTGGATGCATAACAGCACTCCAAGTAGAATAGCAATAGTGGTGTGTGTAATATGGAGAAATGAAATCATAGCACGACAGGTGAGGTCGAACACCAATAACAGCAACTGCATGAATGCAAACAAAATGAGATAGTTGAAACTCCCCACATGTACATGCCTTGGCATTGAGATCAACAACAAAAGAACGGGAATGTCTATCAACCACTTCAAATTCCAAATATGAGCACGGCTTTACCTGGAATAAGAAACAAGTGCAGAATAATATGTAATTTGACAATGGAAAAGGATAATGAAAAAAGTATAAAAAAGTGTATGAAATAGCAGATGTTGGCAGAATGTATCCTTATTTGGGGAAAATTGCCAAATATTAGGCATTAATATAAATAAATAGAAAGAAATTTTGCAGAAGCAAAAACAACTAACCGTGAGTCTCCTAGCTTGACTTTGAAGTGCAACCAGTTGCTTTTCACGTTTTTTTGTCAACATAGAGGTTGTCTTCTCAGCCTTTTCCTTTCTCTTGGTGAACCATTGTTGCATTCTTACTCTCAAGAAGTCAATGAGCTTAGCGACAGAATACTCCCTTGATGAAACATCTACATTGTTCATTGACTCCGCAGAATTTGATGTCATTATATTGTAACTACGAGAACCACACATGCACTTTGCCCATTTATGACTGCCAATTTTATCTAGCCAAGGTCGTATACGGATATCTTCAGAATCCAACAATGTCATGTACTCTTCATACTCCTTCACAGTTGAAGCCATATAAGCCGCTTTGAACTTCCAACCTAAATCAATCGCTGAGCCCTTGAATTTAGAAATCATGTTACGACGCAAATGCTCAACACAATATCCATGACCAGCATGTGGAAAAATCTTTTTTGCTGCACTAAGCAAGCCCTTATGTCTATCTGATACAATGCACATGTCCTCGCGGAACGTTAATGCTTCACGAACTTTTGAAAAAACCACAGCCAAGACTCTTTAGACTCTGAATCACATATACCAAATGCTAGTGGGACAATTTGGTCATTTGCGTCTTGAGCACAAGCTGTGAGAAGGGTACCCTTGTAGTACGCCTTCAAAAATGACCCGTCTGCAATTAGAACTGGTCTGCAATACTTCCACGCCTCCCTCCAAGGTAAGAGGGACATGAAAAAATAACGAAAGGTATCATCTTCTGAAGTTTCAAGAGAAAATAGAGAATCCGGGTTTGCCTTTTCAAGAGCATACGCCAAAGACGGTAGCATTTGGTATGATTCATAATCTGAGCCAAACTGTTTCTGCATAGCTATTTTCTGAGCTTTCCATGCCTGCGTGTAAGAAATGGAAATACCATGATTCAGGAGCATGTCTTCTCTTATTTCATTTGGCTTATAAGGTTTTCTCGATGCATCCAAAAATTTATGCGATATAAGCTCTCCAACAGTGCGGTAGGTTGCTTGGCGATGTTTGCCTTGACGAAAATCAATAGAGCATGTATGTTTTGATTTAAATCTGTAAGGAAAAAGTATTTAAAATGTTAATTTGAAAAGAATGTGGAAAATATGTCAACATAATGGAATAAAAGACCAAGACAGAATGGTTATTAACTAAAGTTACAGTAATGGAGGAATACCTTCGTATCTGAAACATTTGGACACCATCTAGTCTTACAGCCCTCACAGCCCATTTGCATTTTTTATCACGACAGATAACATGTAAACATATCTTCTTTGATGTTAGTGTCCTGTACTGGAACACATTATCTATTGCGAACAGCTTCAAATGGTGAATAAGGGCTGCTTTAGATTGGTAAATAGCATGCAATGCAATCTGAGTGGGGTGATAGTGAGTAATGACATCCAGATTATGATGAACAGAAAACGTGTCATTACAAAGTGAACGAGAAGGTGATGGACTAGAGCTAACTTCTGGGGTAGGACTACAAGACAGCACATCTGTATTGGTCATATGACTTTGGGAAGTGTCTGTAACATTGACCTCATTGTTAGCTTGCATGTGATGTTCTTCAATACTGTTGAAGGAAGAATGAATAGGACCAGAAAATTGATTTGACGAACATGGAATTTTAGCTACAACAGTTTGTGCAATAGAATTTGTGGGATCAGATACAACAGGTTCTGCAACAGGTTGATCAACCAAGAATTCCACACACAAAGGAGATTTTTGAAAATCAGTTTGAAGAGACTTAAGATAAAGGTAAAAACAAAATGTTTCCTCATCATGGATAAAAACAGGTGGAGGACAACCATCAACAATGTAAGACAGTTTGAAGGGTTTATTTGATTTGTAAGGAGAAAATATGGAAGATAATTGTTCACTGAAAGGTGTGTAGTTAGCGGATAAAAGGACTTGCATAGCAAACGTGGCACTGCAATTGAAGTTATAGGCATTGTCCCAAGTACCATCAACTTTCACCATAAGCAGAACAACGGAATCCATATCGACAACTAAGGAGCAAAAGAGAAACAAACAGAATTAAAAAATGCCAGATATACTAAAGCAAACTGACAAGTTTATGGAAATAAAAAAATGAAAGCCACATGAAACAAGACATGTATAATACAAGCCACATGTTTCAAAATATTACTGGCAGTGATAAAGCAATGAATGGCACATGAAAGAAGACATTAGAATTTGATAAAGAGTAGAAAGCTCAAATAACAGAATCCATATGGACAAGTGAGGAGAAAAAGAGTAAAAATCAAAGGATACTAATGTTAATAAAATGAATTAAATAGAAAACAATTCAAACAAAAGTGAAAGATCAAATAACAGTATAATAGACAAATTAAAGGCACTGATTGTGATCGTGAACTTGGTCACAAAAACAGTATAACAAAAAATCAGTTTATAAAACTGAATAACAAAAAAGGCATATAACCTAATGCAAAATGCCACACTTATGGCAATAACATAAAAACAACAAGCGGAAGCTACAAGGTTGAAAACATTCATGACAGTGATAAATCAATGAATGTCACTGAAACAAGACATTATAATTTGAGTAAGAGTAGAAAGCATCACGGCGTCAATAAAACAAATTAAGAAGCTGTTCTCTTCGCCTGATCTGAATGTTTCTGATCTGAATTTTTTAAGTTCTGATCTGATCTGATCTGAATTTTTCTGATCTGATCTGATCTGATCTGAATCTTTCTGATCTGATCTGATCTGATCTGAATCTTTCTGATCTGATCTGATCTGATCTGAATCTTTCTGATCTGATCTGAATGTTTCTGATCTGGTCTGATCTGATCTGAATGTTTCTGATCTGATCTGAATCCTTCTGATCTGATCTGAATCTTTCTGATCTGATCTGATTTGAATATTTCTATAATTATAATTATAATTATAATTATTATAATTGCAATTACAAATATAATTTAAATAAAATTATAATTATAATCGTAACTATAAAAATAATAATAATAATAATAATAATTAAAATTAAATTTAAAATGAAAAAATTTATACTTATTACACTAATTATAAATATAGATGTAATTATAATTGTAATTATATTTTTAATTATAATTGTAATTATAGTTACAATATTTATCTATATAATTGTAACTATAGTTATCAATATTATTATAATTACTCCGTAAAATAATTACAATAGTAATAATAATAATAATAATTATAATCATAAATTATAATTATAAGTATAATTATAATTATTATAATTATAATTAATAATAATTATAATTATATTAACATTAATTATAATATTATAATATAATAATAGTAATATAAATACAATTAATATTATAATAATGATATTATTATATTCATATTATTATTACAATAATATAATAATAATAATATGATTATTATTATTATAATAAGTATTATATTATTATAATATTATATTATAATTATAATTATAATCATAATTATAATTATGATTGTAATTATAATTATAATTATTATAATTATAATTAATTACAATTATAATTATAAATATTTATAGATATAATTATAATAAATACAATTGATTATACTTATAATTATAAGAATTATAATTGTAATTATAATTATAATTACATATAATTATAATATAATATTATATTAACATTAATCATATTATTATTATTATTATTATATTGTAATAATAATAATAATAATAATAATAATAATAATAATAATAATAATGATAATGATAATGATAATGATGATGATGATGATGATGATGATGATGATGATGATGATGATGTTGTTGATGATGATGATAATAATAATAATAATAATAGTCTTCTTAATAATTACATTTATATTACTATTATTATATTAAAATATTATAACTATTATTAATATCTTATTTTTGTTATCATATTATTATTAATATTATTAATAATAATTATATAATAATAATCATAATTGTAATAACAATAATAATAATAATTAATATAATAATAAAAGTGATAAATCATGTTTGAACTTTTCTGATCTGATCTGAATGTTTCTGATCTGATCTGAATGTTTCTGATCTGGTCTGATCTGATCTGAATCTTTCTGATCTGATCTGAATCTTTCTGATCTGATCTGATCTGATCTGAATCTTTCTGATCTGATCTGATCTGATCTGAATTTTTCTGATCTGATCTGATCTGATCTGAATTTTTCTGATCTGATCTGATCTGATCTGAATAAAATAAGAATAAGCAATAAGTAATAAGAATAAGACGAACAGAACAGCACCTAAATAGCAAACGATTCAAAAAAAGTGAAAGCTCAAATAACAGTATCATCGACAAATTAAAAGCAACGATTGTGATCGATCATAACTTCGTCATAAAAACAGTATAATCGCTAAATTGAAAGCAACGATTGTGATCGATCATAACTTCGTCATAAAAACAGTATAATAGCCAAATTAAATTTCACATACCAGCCAGTTTAATCGCCAAATTGAGTTGAAGAACTGTTGGAACGGATTGGAATTGAGTCAGTTGACTTGAAAAGCTGATCGCACGGAAGGAAAGCCAGTATAATCGCAAGTTGAGTTGCAGAGCTGATCGCACCGGAGGAAAGAGACGAAGTTCAAAGAAAGAAGGTGGTGGCGGGTAAGATAACTAACGCAATAAATAAAGAAAAATATTAAACTGGGAGGTGTAAAACATAACAGGGGTAAAAGTGGAAAGGTAATATAAGCATGTTTCCAAATAGGACTCATATGGTCCTATTTTGAAATAAAACATAAGAAGTCTTATTTTAGGTTTTTAGCCTACTTTTTGTCCTATTTAGGACAATTTCTGATAATATAAAGATGTTTAAAAAATGTGATGTCCCACTTGGTCTTATCTCTATGTCTTAAAAACGTTATAGAAAGTTGATGGATTTTTGTTATAAAGGGTATTGATTTTTTAAAATAGAGATTAGCGTGAAGTTGGAAAACGACTAACAAATTGATATGTATTGTGATGATTAAGGATGTTTTTACTTAGACTGCAATTTGTCTCAGACCAGATCAGACCATACCAGATTAGATCAGATCACAACAAACTTGGATAGTTATAAAAATACAAAGAGACCAGACCAGATCAGACTAGACCAGCAAATTACAGTCCAAGTAAAAACATCCTAAGGATGTTTTTAGTTCGGTTGAAATTTTCTAGTCTAGTACGGAGTATGAAATTTTTCCACTTTTAGTCCTCCGACTATTATGTCATTGACATTTTTGGTACTCGACTTTAATTTTTTCCATTTTTAGTCCTTGACTATTGCGCTAGAGACACTTTTGGTACCCGTCTTTGAAAATTTCCATATTTAGTCCTTCAACTTTCATAAAAGTGACACTTTTGGTTCTTCAACTATTATAATAGAGACTTTTTTAGTCCTCCACTTATTGTGTCAAAATCATAATGGGAGGACTAAAAGTGTCAATTTGATAATACTCAGGGACTAAATGTGGAAAACCTTGAAGTCGGAGACTAAAAGTGTCTCTAGCACAATAGTCAATGACTAAAAATGGAACAATTAGAAGTCGAGTACCAAAAGTGTCATTGACATAATAGTCGAGGGACCAAAAATGGAAAAAACTCTAGTCTTGTTTGCTTGAATCTATTCTAGTATGGTCTGGTATGGTAGATATCATATTTATGTGTACTTTACCAATCTCAAAGATTAATCTAGTATTGTTTGTCTATGTTTAGTTTGATCTGCGATTGAAATTTTCTAGTCTAATTCGGAGTATGATCTAGTCTTGTCTGCTTAAATCTATTCTGACAAAAATTGTCACTTGAAAACATTTTTTTCCAGCTTTTTTAAGCCAAAAGCTGAAAATCACTTTTTTATCTTTTGCAAACATACCCTACATGTTGTTCTCTTTGTTAGATTTTCCAAAAATGAATAATACTTTCATCAATGACTTTTCTTTTTAGGGATAAGGCTCAAATTGGACACCATGGTTTTATCAGAATCTCATATTTGACACCAAGGTTTTAAATGGACCAAATTAGACACTATGATTTAATATGTATCTCATATTGGACACTAAAGTTTCATAATTCAATATAAGTGAGTGTCCAATTTGATCTTTATCCAATATAAGTGAGTGTCCAAAACCTATGAATTATGAAACTTTAGTGTTCAATATGAGATACATATGAAACCATAGTGTCTAATTTGATCCATTTGAAACTTTATTGTCAAATATGAGGTTCTGATGAAACCATAGTGTCCAATTTGAGTCTTATCCCTTCTTTTTATACTACGTACCTCCGTTCAAAAATAATTGTCTTGTTTTCTTTTCCGGATGTCCCAAAAAATTGTCTTGTTTCCTCTTTTGGCAACAATGTGTGGCTTAAAATTTATGGGGGTGTATTTATAAATATTAAAATTATGGGGGAGTATTTATAAATAATTGATATTACAATTTTTTTTGAAAATATATACATATATTATAGTTTGTCCATTCATTGCATTGAAATATTTCACATTATATACTCGCCCCGTCCCGAACAAATCTTCTCACTTGTCATTTTGAGATGTCCCAAAAAATTCTCCTCATTCACCTATTTGGAATATTTTGTATGGCTAACATTCGTTTACCTTTTTTTTTACTCAATCACAACCATACATTTCCACTTTATTCCTACATTCTTAGGGGGTGTTTGGAATTGATTCTGCTTCTGCTTCTTCTTTTTTTAAAGTAGAAGCAGAATCAAAATTAGTTTCTAGAAGTTGGCCCCCCTCAGGCCTCAGATTCTAAAAAAACTGATTTTAGGAGTACATTAGAGCACCAGAATCACTTTCACCCAAACACTCCAACTTCTGCTTTTGCTCCCTGAAGGAGCAAAAGTAGTTTTAGGAATCAGATCCAAACACCCCTTAATAAGCATGTTAAGTCAAATTGGGAAGTATTTTTTGGGACGAAGGGAGTAATAATTTATCATATACTAGTTCCACTCGATAAATATAGTCAATAAGTCACTAATATGAAATAAGAAACAAGTCAAATAATCACAATTTTGAAATTAAAAGTGTAAATACTCAAAGTTCTGAGATAATGGAGATAGAACAAAAATAGTAGCAGATAGGGCGATTAGTGGTGTGCGACACTCGAGGATGTAACCAAGGCAAAACTTATTTTCAGTTTTTCATATTTTAAGAATTTTATTATTAAATTTTTTGGTTTTTTTTGCATAGAAAAAGTTGATACATGTATGCGTCAGGATACATATATCCAAAATTTTAAAATAATTACAAAGATATACAATACATGTATTTAGAATATTTGATACGAGAACGTTTCTGATAGAGAGATATGATACTCATATGACAATCTTTGCTACATACTTTGCGACACATTTTTACAAAGGCGAGTGCTTTTTAGTTTTTACTCTTGAGATCGTTTGATAGTTTGCATGTTAAATATTTGCAAACGAAATGATTGCATGTAAAGTTTAGGGAAGTAATCAATTTGAATGTAAAATAGATTATATTGTTTGGGTGGATGCGCAATTTATTTTTAAATTATACGAAAAAGACGTCGCAGTGCTTCATAAAATTCATGCAAAATATTTCACCACTGCCCCCCACATAAAATATTTTACATGATACATTGCGAAGGGTTTTAAAAAGTATCATAAAGTTTATACTCCCTCCGTCCCAATATAAAAGGCACATTTTCCTTTTCGGTCCGTCCCAATATAAAAGGCACATTTCCCTTTTTGGCAAACAAAACAGTGCAAAACAGTGCCAAACAGTGTCAAACAGTGTATAAACAGTGCCAAACAGTGTCAAAACAGTGTCAAACAGTGTTCAAACAGTGTTCACACTTAAAAACTCCCCAAACGCAAATGTGCCTTTTATATTGGGACGGAGGGGGTATTAAATAACCAAACCAAATAGTGTAAACTTTTTACGCCCTTACACTTCAAACCAAACAGTTTAAACTTTTTACGCGCTAAAGGAATTCTTTTACATTTTACCAAACGCCCTCTTAAACCAATGACGTCATAGAGATGGCAGAGTTGCCCCTTGGTGACTAGTGTTGGACCTGTTTCGGGCCGCCCGTTCCGGGAACCGGTCCGGCCCGCTATTGTGTGGGGCTGGCGTACCGGTTTTGGTTCCGGGCCTAGGCCTGGTCCCAGGGGTTAGGGTGGGGCGGTCCCGGTTCACCCCCTTCTTTGGAACCGGCGGGGCGGGCCCGATTCGGACCTTTTTTTTGGGTGTTTTCATTATTTTGGGTTTTTTCCTGTGTTGGGTTGGATGTTTTGGGAGGATTTGGGGGGTCGGGGTTAATAAGAAAAGAAAAAAATACATTGACCCGGTCCGGCCCGACCCGGACCCGATCTAGCCCTTACCCGGGCCGGTGCCGGGCCTTCTACCAAAAATCAAAAGCCCCGTCGGGCCTAGGTCCGACCCGGACCCGACCAGGCCGAGTCCATGACCAAATTGGTGACATTGGTGACAATCTTCTCAGGTTGAGTTCTTCGGTGTAAGCTAAGCTATACTCACTCGCAACATTCTGATAGCTAATACTTGCTTGGCGAATAAAAATCTCTACCGAGGATGAAGAGCCTTTGCGGGGCTTCCAAAGATGATAAATTCGTAGAATTTTGGAAGAGAGAGATTGGCTTATCGGTCTCCAGAACTTTCTCTCGCCGAATCGCGGCTTCCGAGGTCCTCGATTCATCTACTTATACCTTAATTTACATGTTCTGTTTCTCCCTTTTGCTGAATTCTATGTAGTTGCTTTAGACCCTGATATGTTCTCTGTTTTTTTTTTTTTAACTTGATAACATTGTTTTCATTTTATATTTGTCAAATTTCTCTTAAATTTGTGAGTCTGAGAAAGGTATAGGAAATGTGCTCAAGGGAATTTTTTTAATGAACTGGATTTGCATTTTTCATCACTAACTTTGTGAGCTGCTGGTGTTGTGGATTATTTGAAGGTAAAGAGGTTATGATTTTTATTTATGGATCAAGTAATGATGTAAAAACATTAAAACTCAAAAGTTGTGCATGGCTTTTGACAATCAGGATGTGAAAAGTGCCAATGGATTCTTTAGAGCATTGAAAAATGTTGTGTTGGATGAAGTGACTCAAATTTCTAATGTCCTTTTTTCTTCATTGGTGTAGGGTGTGGTGAAACAACTTGATTTGTATGGAAAATTAAAAGGTCATCAGGGATGTGTTAACACAATCAGTTTCAACTCACTTGGCGACACTCTGGTGTCTGGCTCGGATGACAAACAAGTAATTTTGTGGGACTGGGCAACAAAGACATCAAAATTATCATATCCATCAGGCCACTTTGATAACATCTTCCAGGCCAAGTTCATGCCATTCACCGATGATCGTAACATTATCACTTCATCTGCTGATGGCCAGGTAATATACCTAGGTACTATGTCATACACTCATATCAGAAATTATGTACTCCAAAAAGCATAAGGTAATTCAATCACTAATAAAGAAGCAAGTGTTTTTTAGCCAATTCTCTTTCTGATTTGCAAGAAAGTAACTTGTATTTTTTGGAAAAATATGGTGATCTATGTATAATACGATATATTGATTGACCTACAAAAATATAAACTGAAAATAAGCTTTCTATGTAACTCATTTTCCACAAAAGCTCAAAGAATCAAGGACAACATTTTCTTTTTGAAAAATGCTTTTCGGCTCCAAACACATAAAAGCCCGTAAAATATTATCTAGGAACAAACAATAAGGTGCATTCTTTTCCCGAAACCAAAAAACCTAGAATTCGTAACATAATTCGAACAATTGGGCTAAATAAGCCTGAAATATAATGAACATATGGAATGCAGATGAATTTATGAAAAAGTAGGATCTGCAAGCTGTCATCAACAGTCTGCTATTCAGTAATGCAGGTGGTTTCTTGTCTGTTCAAAGCCATAAGTGAAGGAAGTTGAACATAATTTGAAAATAGGAGCAAAAACAATGTGAAATTCCAAAATAGAATTGCTACTTTACCCCCTAAATAGGAGTAAATTAATGCCATTCTGAAATCATAATGCCATATTATTCCATTACAAGACATTAATATGGTAGTATTAGATCGGCAGTATTTTCCGAGCATGACAATAATTACTCCTACCGACATCAAACTATTTTGGGATTAAGGCTTGGATGTTGTTTGTTTTTCTGTTTGTTTATTTATTTGTTTCTTAATAGCAATTACTCCTATTTAGCGGAAATCGTTATACTCCCATTTTTTTTAAATTTCACATGGTTTTACTCTAATTTAGAGCAATTTCTTTTTTCTTTTCTACTACTCTCTCCCCACAGCATCTGTTGCCATGCACCATATTGGCATGTTCTTATATGCCTTATATCTACCGTCTTTGTTGCAATATTATACTATGTCTAATAATATTGATTTTCTACTTCCTTGTTGACTCAAGATAAAATTTACTGCTGCAACCTCTCAAAGCCATCTTTGTTGTAACAGCTCCAAAACAGTATATTCACTATATTAGAATAACCAAATGAAATCAAATATGTGTGGAATAGATTGGGGTGCTTCAGATTTTATGGCATGATTTATTTTTTCATTAAAAGGCTTCTTCCTTGTGTTTCAAATAAATCTTCTTACTGCAGGTTAGGCTTGGCCAAGTGTTAGAGAATGGTGATGTAGACACAAAGAGGCTGGCAAAGCACGGAGGTCGAGTACACAGTCTTGCTGTGGAACCGGGAAGCCCATACATATTTTACAGTTGTGGTGAAGATGGGTTCGTTCAACATGTAGGTCACTATTGTCACGTGACATTTCCCTATCTCGATATAATTATTCAGTATCCTTTGCCAGTTTGTGCTACTATATATGTGTGATAAACTGCACCTCTTGAGACCATATTGGGGTAACAATATCTGGTCCGATAGTGGTCTTTGAGGCATCCATCTACTCGTTTGTTAGCGGCTAGTAGTGTGGGCATCAGTTGGGTCCAGTTGTCATTCCCTTCTGTTCTCTAGTCCGAGTTGGGCTAAAGAGCGTGTGCTGAATATCGTACATCGGTTATGTACTTGGTTTGAATCTAATCTAGTACTAGTGTGAGATAAAAATCACATCTTAAGACTTTCAGGGATGAGCTAAACCCAATTTAACAAGGTACAACGCCTTTGGCAGTGGATTTGGGCCTATTGGTCCACCTCCTTCAATGTCCAGCCCAACAAGGTTGGGGGTGTTTTGAGTTCTCATGTAAGTTGTCTATCGGTTTTGAATCTAGTATGTAAGTGCACGGAAGATCCTTAGGGTGTGAGTTAGACCCAATTTAACAATAAATAAATCATTGCTTATGCAAAATGCAGTACGACCTTCGAAGCAATTCTGTCAAAAAGCTCTTTCGTTGCTCACCGTTAGTAGGAAACAACAAACAGTCCTCAAATGATAGCATACGGTTGAACGCTATTGTTATTGACCCGCGGAATCCCAATTTTTTCGCTGTGGGAGGCTCTGATGAATTTGCACGTGTATATGACATCAGAAAATGTCAGTCGCATGCAAAGACTACCAATCCTTTAAATGCATTTTGCCCTCGTCATCTCATCCAGACAAATGATTTTCATGTAACGGCATTGGCGTACTCTAACACAAGTGAATTGCTCGTCTCCTACAACGACGAACTGATATATCTGTTCCAGAAGAACATGGGGTTGGGTCCTGATCCTCCTTTATCTGCGACACGTGAAGATAAAAGTAGCATTGAAGAGCCTATGGTTTATTCAGGGCATAGGAATTTGCGGACAATCAAAGGAGTGAATTTCTTTGGCCCAAATGATGAATATGTTATTAGTGGGTCCGACTGTGGTCACATATTTATGTGGAAGAAGAAGGGAGGAGAGCTTGTCCGTCTGATGAAAGGTGATAAGGACATAGTAAATCAGCTTGAGTCTCATCCCCATATTTCTCTTCTTGCTACCTCTGGGTTAGAAAAGAGTATTAAGCTGTGGGCTCCCTCATCAAAGGACATAACTCCATTGCCATGTAATTTTCAAGAGGTGAAAATTTTAGCACTCTTCTTAATAACTCCTAGTGAAAATCGCACGTTTAGTTCCCCAATAGTTTGATATCATGTAAAGTCTTGTTTGTCTTTGCATGTATGTAAATGCGGTCTTTCTATTATAATTTAGAAACAGCTAGTCACTCCTGTTAATGCTAGTAAATATTAGTGCTTCTTAGGACATTGTTAGCATTTTTATATTGCCATGAATGACCTATGAGGCCATAAACCTTATTACTAAATGGTGGTTTTAAAAAGAGACCAACTTCTCAAGTATAACAATTGAGTGATGGAATTAAATTTGCAAAATTTTGAAGTCAAACTATTCTGCAAAGGGCTCGTTTGGTAAGGTTTATCTGGCTGAATGGTATTTGCTAAATTTCTGACAGGAATACCATATGGTAACATCCTTTTTAACGATGTTTGATGCATATGGCTTGACTAAAGTGCTTCAAGTCTTTAACCCTTTGTATGCAAAATCATGTTGATTTTAATTCAGTGATTTTTGTTGTTGTTGCATTTATATGTAACGAAGTATCGCTTTGAAAAATTTCAAAGGTCATTTCGAACCGGCGCTAAACCAAAAGCTACTTTATCCACTTATCTGTATAAACAGAATAGCAGAATCAGCATAAGGCTATCAAATGGAGCCATGTTTTGTCAAACACTTGTGGGACTAAAAGTGCCTGTTAATATAGAGTGCCATACTCAACATTAGTTCGATCATATTTTTGCTTAATGAATACTATTTTGTGTTTTACCATCAGATAATGGATGCCAATAAGCAAGGCAGAGAGGGCCCTTCGCTGGTCACACTTACCCCTGACATGATATTGCATATTTTGCATTTGAGTAGGATGCAAGCAATGCCTTTTCTCGAGGAACACTATGAGAGAGGGGAGGCTGCGGAGAGTGAAGAAGAAGGTGGAGGTGGTGATGATGCTATTGATTTTGGATATTCTGAAGATGATGATTCCGAGGAAGGAGGGAATTCCATAGAGTGTGACGTCGGCTAGATCAATGGGTTTAATTATATAGTTTATGTAAGCATTATATTTGAAAGCAACAAATAGTTGCATGGTTTTCCTGTATATTTTCTTACCTTCCTAAAATGAATGTCTATTATTATGATTTATGATCATAGTCATCTTCCTCCAGTTCCGACGCATTCATCCATGTTGTCATTGTCATTGTCATCTAATGCACGTAGTGATGGACCCGGGTCGGGCCTCGGGTCAGGTAGAGGTAGGCCCGGGACCGGCCTGGGCTATGGCCGAAGCCGGTTCGGGCCGGGCCACCTGCCCGGGTCACGGGCCGGGCCACCTGCCGGCCCGGGCCGGGCCGGGCCGGGTCATAATTTTTTTTAATTATTATAGAATATACAAATTCTTATTAAAAACAAAGTTCAAGTGCATTTATTTGAAATAGGAACTACATTTGAGAATTGAGAAAAAATAACAATATGAAATACATGTTCTAATAAATATCAATTGGGATTTCCGCCACCGTTGGTTGTTGTTTCTCCTTTGTCACAGGACTGACTTCATATGTTTTATTGTCATCTCGTATCCGTGTGAACGCCCCAAGCTTCGGGTCCTTCCACTTATCAAAATTGTTTTGCATAAGGGAAGATGTACTTTCCATCTTTAAAATGGTAGATGTATAAGTAGGAATGTAGGATAATAAGAGAAGATGAAAATGGAGAAGAGTTGGAGAAGAGGTGTAGAAAAATGTTAGAAAATAGATGTATTTATAGATGTTTTTGAACCCCTCTCCCCACACCACCACCACCCGGGACCCCCTGCCCCCCACCCAAAGCCCCAACGGCTATATAGCCGTTTGGGAGTGAGTTTTTTTTAATTTTTTTTTAAATATTTTGTTTTTGAAAATTATACATATTCTAAAATAAGTTAATTAATTTAATGAATTAAGTAAATCTATTTTTACTTAGAAAAGTGGTTTGATTTATAATTTACAAATGTTACAAAATAGGTGTATAAGTATTTAAACAAATTACATATTGTAAATGTATTTTTAATTTGAAAACAACCTTTAGATTTTAGAAAAATAATTTTAAGTTGTAAGTTTGTAACCAATTAATTAATTTGAGAAGTACTACATATGAAAAAATGAGCGCATATTTATTTGAAATATGAAGTACAAGTTTACAAATTAATTTGAAGTACAAGTACAAATTTACAACTTTGAAATATGAAGTACAAGTTTACAATTTTGAAAAATGTAACAAGAATACTAATTAACTAATTAACTAATTAACTAGTATAATGAAAAATGTAACAATTAGTGAGAATACTAATTAACTAATCAAGTAATGTTAATAAAAATGTAAGTAATAAGACAAATGTATGAATGTGTATAGTAATTAATGGGAGTAAATGAGTAATAGAATGATTTTAAGTGATATTAATTAAAGTGTAACTAATATATAATATAATGTTTATAGTATATAATATATAAGTATACTACTATAAGATGAGTAATACACTTATATTTTATACTTTAATATATAAACTATATATTAAGTAGATGTAGAATGTATGCATTAAGTGGATATAAGTAGATAATTAATATACGTAATATAGTATATGTATTTATAAGTAGATAATTAATATATAAGTAGATATAATAATTGTATAAGTATTAAATAGTAAAATAAAATATAATGGAGAATAAGAGAATTTGAGAAGATGAATATGGAGATAAGTAGAGAGTAGGAATGTAGGATTTAGGAAGAGTTGGAGAAGAGGTGTGAAAAAATGTTTAAAATTAGGAGTATTTATAGGTTTTTTTTAACCCCCACCCCCCCACCCCACCCCCACCCCCAAAAAGCCCTGGACCCCCTTGGTACCCACCCAACGGCTATATAGCCGTTTGGGAAGTGGGTCAACAGCCCAAAAGGATGTTTTAAAAAGAAATGATTTTTTTTAATTGTGACCGTTAGGCCCGGACCCGGCCGGGACGGGTCGCCAAAACCTAGCCCCGAGCCCGGACCCGCCACCCCCCACCGGTTCGGTGCCCGAACCGGGTCCATGACTAAATGCACGAGGTGCTTATGTACACAAACAACTAGGGGGTGTGGACATTGTATGTATGCACACGATTACGTATAATGTGTTCGAAATGTGTAATAAAGTTGCAAAACAATAAATACACAGTTGTAAAAGTTTCAGGGCAATTATTAATCTTCCTTGGAAACTAGAAAGTAGACGTGAGCATATCGATTCGGTTTGATCGAATCAAACCGTACCAAATTTAACTAGATCAAATAAAATCATACGTAATTTGGTCTGAGTTTGTAACATTTCCTCCAAATCGTATGAAACAAAATTAAACCAAAACCGAGAGAAATTGAATAAAATCGAACTAAACTAAAAACATTCAATAAAATCTGAATATATTATTAAAAATTAAAAATATAAACCGAACCAAATCAAACTAAACCGAATTGAACCAAATAGAAACATAATACATATGATTTTGTTTGGTAACCTAGTCATTCTTCCAATCCTGAACTTTTCAAATCAAATCAAACCATAAAAACCAAACAAAAACGATATGATGATAAACTTTGGACAATGATTTTGATTAGTATATAATTTTATAAAAGTTACAAAAGTTATAATTTTATGAAAGTATTTTGAACAAAAAATGTATATTTATACTCCGTATTACTTTTATATTATAAATAATTTTCTATAAAAAGATATTAGGAGTCAAAATTTAACTTCTTTGACTGAAAAATTCAGGTGGGCGAAGGTTTAAGAGGCAAAGTATCTATTGGGCTTAATCATGTTCTATGTGACTATTTGTCTACATCTTGATCGGACTGATGAGTCCAACACTAGTGCTTTCTAGCATAGTGAAAGAGTCGCAATTTCAAAAGCTTTCCCTTCGGCTCTAAACTTCAGGTTCCAGATTTCATCGTTTTACCGAATTCATCCAGGTATTTTTATGCTTGATGTTCAGTCTTGACATTTTTATGCAAAAGTCATGCCTTTTTTTTCAATTACTTGATGCTTATCATTGACTATTATAGAAGTTCAAAATTCGAAATCTGTGAAAGAGATCTTCTATTAGACCTACATTATGCATGAAAACACCATTTTACAAATCAACTAGTTCTATGTTTGGTCCCAACCTGGTGTTTACCCGCTGCGTAATTAACCGGTAAAATTGGAAAAGCCGTCGTTCTCTTTATAAACCTACGCAGTCTTACGCTCTCCAGTAGTCATCGCTCTTACTCTGTTATTCTACAAGAATCGGCCGATTCCTTCTTCACTCAATTATCAATTATATTGCAGATTGCGAATTTTCTTCACTCCTCGAACTCATGAAGGATTACTTTACTTGACAGAGAATATCTCCTATTCGATCGCTTAGAGACAAGGAGAAAGAGAAAAGGGGAAGGAAGATCAATTAAGGTAAACACATCATTCATATCGTTGTTCGTATTTATTCTATCATATATATATCCCTAATCTTTGACTGGTTTTGATTTTCTACTTTTTAGAGTTACCATAATGGATTAGCTGTTTGGATAATTGGAGAGCTCTTAAATCTCTGAGAGCAATTTTAGGTTGGATTAAGTCAAATACTGCCTCTCTAGCTTCCTATTTTTAGTTTGTATGAGAAACGATTTCCACAAGGTTGTGGTTCTTCTTCAGTAGGTCAAATTCCAGAATTCAATGCAAGCACAACATGTGGGAAGACGCAGTAATCCTCTCTGTAATCCCCCAGTCCAGTCCCGCTGCAGTCCCCCTTGCCATCCTCACCGTCTTCCAGTGTTGTCCTCTACCAGCCTTCCAGAAAGACTAAGTGTGACGCTCAAGGTTTTTTAATTGTAGACTTTAGGTAAATAATAATAAAGTAAAACTACAATAATAGCCTTCCAAGTGTGATTTCAAAATTTTAACGGGTAACAAGTCAATGGGACCGAACATGGAAGACGGAATAGAAAGGTGGGATTTATTTCAGATTACTTAAAAGAAGGACCATTTTGGGAAGATCGATTAAAGGTGGGATTATTAGAATCAATTTTTCCTAATTTTTTTGGGAGGATCACTTTGAGATTACTTAGGCAAATTTGAGATTTTGCATCCCCCCTTTCCCCTCACTACATCAGAACATTTAGAAGCCTATTATTTTTTGGGTTTATTACACTTCAATACCTCATAAGCATTTCCCCCCCCTTTCCCCTCACTTCATCCAAACATTTAGAAGCCTATTATGTTTTTTTTGTTATTATTATTGTATACAATCATAAGTTGAATTTTGTTTACTGTTACAATCATGGTTTCAAGATATCGCGTATTTTATTCTTTCTTTCTATTTTTGTTCTATTACACCAATTTATGCACTTTCTATTATTCTAGTTATAATTCTAATTATGCACTTTTGATATACTGATTTTACATACTGTATTAAATGTATTTCATAAATATGCACATGTTTCTAATCATTCCAATTTTGCACTTTTGACATAAATTTTTGCATTAATGATATAGTTCAATTTACATTAATGCTAGTGCATTTATTACAAACCATGAATTTGTATTTAACATTTCCCCCTTTTATCGTTCTAATTGTGCATTCCTTACATATGAAGAATGATGCACTTCTGAGTTCTAATTTATTATATATGCATACTATATTAAATAATTGCGTGTGTAAATCCACGATACTTTAACTTCTCTAATTGTGCACTTTTCATATACTCCCTTCATCCCATTAGACATTGCCTACTTTGATTTGGGTGTGGAATAAGAAAAGTAAAAACTGTGTAGTTAAGATTTGTGAAGGGGGGAAAAAAAGGTGAACCACAAATTCATTACATTAAAAAAAAGTGACTAAGTTTTTGGGACAAACAAAAAAAGAAAATTGTCAAAGTCTAATGGGATAAAGGGAGTATGGTTTTTGTACTTCTACTGTTCTACTGGAAAACTTTTGATATAAAATGTCATCTCTCTATTTCATAAAGAATTGACACAAATAAGTATCATGAATATGGTCAAGACATCCAACAATATTGATGATTCATTGTGTGACTATTTGTACCGCTTTAGAATTTAAACTACTTATAAAGGTATAGAGTAAATTTTCCAAGATTTCTCTCTAGAAGTGCATAATGTATATAAACTACACAATGCATCTAAGTACTAAAGTGCATCTATTCACACGCTAAAGTGCATTCTTGAAAATGTCCATCTCTTGTAACACATATAATGTGTATAAGATGCATTATGCGTCATAAATAATTGCATTACTTGATATATTCATTTTCCAATTTTCTTTTCTATGTCAGAATTCCATTTCCCAAACTTAAGATGGTTCATCTAAGAAAGTACAAAATTTGGAAAAGAAAATATCATGTGAATGGTGCACACACTTAATTAGTTTTACATAATGCATTTCAATTATACTATGATACATAATAACCTATCAATAGTGCATGTATTTGAGCAATGTTAGGATGTTTTCAATTGGGTTGAAATTTTCAGGTTTGGTTTGATCTATTATGGTATGACAGATTTCTGTTTTATGTGTAATTGTGTATTGTAATATTGTCTAAGCTTGATATAATCTGGTTTGGTTTGATCTATTTAAGTATGATCCGGTTTGGTTTGATCTGGTCTTTGACTGAAAGTCGTCCAATAAAAAATATCCTTAGTCAGTAGAATATAGAATCCTGGACGTGATTAAGTTTGCCCCCTGCCATAATTTGAAGCACTCCTAATTAAAATGGAATTCTTAAAAGTAACTCTGTGTGCTTAATCGTGCATGTGCACTTAAGCATGGAAACTCCATGAGGCTAATGTTTCCCTGTTTTGGAAACTCAATAATGTAATAGAAATTTGGAAACTTCAAATTCCCGATGTAGGGCCTTTTCCGTAACTAATAAGATTCGGGAAACTCATTTCCATAAATAATTAGTGTTTACAAAACTTTGGGAAACTTCATATCCTTTATTTCTTAGAAACTCTGTTTCTTGCGCTTCACATTTCATTGCTACTTAGGTTTACGTAAAATCCTCTATTAGGCTATTATACTAATTAACCCTAATCTATTTGGTCGAAGTATCTAATTTCCTTGATTTTTGGATATTTGGTTGATAACTTGATACTACCAATAAAGTTCGGCTATTGGATCAAGGATTTCAATGACACATCATTTTTCTCATTTCTCTCCTTGGGCTTTATTCTTACCGGAACCGGACTTTAGTTTTATTAAATTATACTTGCGATAAATGTTGATATTATGGCTATATATTAGTAAATTTTTAAATACCATTTATATTTCTTCTAAAATTCTCAAATCCTTTTATGGATCTTTAAAAGGGAGCACATTAATTATTCTTTATCATGTGCCAATAGGCACACAACACATTAGAAAAACTCTTTCATTCTGAATATTACTCTTATTATCTATTGCTTTAAAAGTTTTTTGTCATTTTCTAATTGCTCAGGTAAAAAAAGTTATGTACAAATGCTGGATTGCTGGTGTGAATAAAGAAGTGAACATTTCTTGTTCAATTTATACAGCGAGAGCAGAGGCTGTTTTCACTTCATTCTTTGGGTGCTGAGTTTAAAAAATCTTATTAGGAACTGCAAAATAGCCATGGTTATTTTTTGTCTCTTGCAATACTATGCAATATGAGAACTCCTACATTTGACTTTACACTTGATTGGAAACAACAAAAGAAGTTAAAGAAAGTAAAAGAATGACAGATATTCCAAATATTAATGATGAGGCCCTCAATCCAAGCTCCTGACAGGTCCTAAGGCCCTATAGAGTATAGAGTCTACCTTTGCTACATTTTTTGTTTACAAGATAACCTACTTTATCTTATGTTATTTATTTCTTCAATCAGTTTTGGTGTGAAAGTTGGCCAAGCTAACTGCATTACTCCCTTTGCGCCTCAATTAGGATCTCCTTTGCTTTTTGTGTGCTTATTAAAAAAGTGATTTTTTTAGATTTATTTACAAGGGGGGATAATATGAATCACACATTTTTTCCTTAAAAGGAAATGAGAAGCTAATTTCGGATAATATTATATATATATAAAGCTAATTTGGACTTATTAAAAACCATCTCTTGCACTTTTTGAACTTTGGTCGGACCATTGCAGTATAGCAGTAGATTAAAATGCAGTGGATTTTGGTAAATAAATCAAAGTTTTCTGATAATGCGAAAAAGTGCAGCATAGAAATCTAATAGTGCAACAAATTGAGGAAAAAGTGCAAGTGTTCGCAGTTTTCACGGGAAAAATGATTTTTATTTTACCCGGAACCTATATATACATATATACAACAACAACATCCAAACCTTCTATAGGTTGGCTAACCAATATTGGCAATATGTGTGTGTGTACTGTGTAGGTAGGTAGGTAGATGGATACGCTGTATTAAAATAGTAACAACCAACAAAATAGCTAAGGCAGAAATTTTAAATCACAAACTTCTCTTCTCTAATGGTCCAATTCTTGAAAAATCATTTAGATGAATGCCTGAGTGGCACCTGAGTCCTGATGTCTAATACATTGCTTAGAGTGAAAAAGAAGACCTTTAATTGTAAACTAGCTGTTCTTTTCACCATGTTACAGAGGGCTTGAAGTTTATTGCAGATTCAACAACTTTAAGTTGATCTTCTTTTACAGAAAACAGCAGCCCAGAGAATTTAACTACAAGCAAACCAGAAGTACAAAATTTGAGCATGGAACCCCTGCAAATGAAGAGGAAGAAGATCAGTGGTTACAACTTGCGGAAGAGTTTAGCATGGAATAAAGCATTTTTTACCGAAGAAGGTTGTTGTGCTTTGTATTATTAAGTTACCATTTGATTTTTCTATAGCCACTTTTTTTTTTTACCAAATATCTATTTTTTATTTGTTCACGCTGAATTGGTTAATAATGAAATAAGATGGGGCCTCTTAGGCTGAAATAATTTGGTTTAAGTTGTTGATGATAAACGTTTTGGCCTTTTTTCATTTTTTCTTCAATTTATCAATAAAATATATTTAAAATACTAGTATAATTTTTCATAATTAAGCACAATCCAGCCAATTCAGACATTTCAGCAACAACTTCAGTAAAAAAAGGAACTTGAAAGCGTTGATCTTTAGTATAAAGTTGGTTAATTGCGGTCCTCAGTAAGTTTGAAGCATTTAACAACTTCAGTAATTTCAATAAGCATGACCGAATTGACTCTAACAACTTCAGTAATTTAAGCCTGACCGAATTGACTCTAACTCTCTAAGTCAGTCATTGCAGTATTGCAGCACCAATCTCCTCGTATAAGTTATGATACTGATGATTGTTTGTTTGTTGATTATCTAAGGGGTACTGGATCCAACAGAACTATCTTTGATCAGTGGAGCATTTGCTAATACGAGTGGAGGGGGCTTGTGTTCCATTGAGGAACGGAGAACCCCACAAACTAGCAACTCCCGTAAAAATGTCAGTTCTTCGATGAAATCAGTTAAAAAGAATTTGAGCAGAGATTTTAATGCTACATCTTCAAAAGAAGAGAGAATGAAGGTATGTTTTTGGTTAACATTCCTGAGCCTGGGAAGAATGCTTCAAACTTCTATTATTAATGCTGAGCTAACAATATGAAGTTTTAGGTATACATATATTTTCTTCATCAGATATGAGTTATCTTACTATTATCCTTTCCTTTCTTCACTGGAACACATGTAGATTCAGTCTTCATGCAAGGCAATAACAAGTCAGAATGGAAGACCATTGTTTTCAACTTCATATCCTTACTACATATATGTTTATACATATTATTCATATGTACACACACAAATATGTGTATACACACATATGCCCCTCTATAAATCTCATCTAATTTTGAAACTTTGTGGAACCTTAATATTGCTTTTTCACATTAAAAAGGCCTGCAAATTTAAATGTTAGTAAAGCAACAGCCAAGGAATCCAAACTACCTAAGTTTCAAGTTCCAAGCGCAGGTTCATGTCCGACAAATGCATCATCTAATAGTACAATTCCTAGAACAAGTTCTATGCAGAACAAAAAGATTTCTGATCGAGGTATCTGGTAGTATAATTTTTTATACCTGCACCAAATGGGCGCTTATAGTTTTTGAATGCATAAAAATGTACTGGAAACTTGTTCACTCTTGCATTTACATTTTTGCTGGTGTCTTTAGTCAGTATATTAAGAAAATATGGGATCAGGAGCTCCTTAAGAAATTCAAGACATGGACAAAATTCACAAAAGAGAGCAAATGACGATTGCAGATTTCCGCCAGGCTTACCTCTAGCCTCTCCTTTGAAACAAGATGCTGTAAAAACAAAAGTTAGTCGCAATGAGTTACCTACCTTGCATTTCTGTGTAATTCACTTTCTTACCAAGGCATTCCTAATATTTCCCAATGATTTACACAGGATGCATCTAAAAAGACTTCATCCTTATTGCCCATCAAGAATCATGGTAATAACAGTTTGAAGGTGCCGGGTTCTGTGGTTGCACATAGCAGTGTGTGTTCATCCAAGTCACAGGATGCATTTGTACAACCTGCTGCTTTCTCTCATCTACAAAACACCTTTACTTTGGTTAAGAACGGGCAAGAAACTCAAACCCAACAAATAAAACCATCTTGCTTGCGAATGCCATCACCATCACTAGGATATTTTTGCCAGGTTTGACTGCTACTTTCTGATATGCTTTCTTGGGTGAGTTCAGAAAATGATAAAATCTTTTTTCTTTTTTCTTTATTAAGACTAGGGTTTCCACTTGTAAAATATTGTTTTTTCTACAATTACTTTTTAGCTCCTGAAAAAATTGTTTCCGCAGTGTCCAGTCTTAGATGTTGGTTTTTGTTTAGTTCTCTCCTAAGGGTGTCAGACTTGGATTTTTCTTTTCTCGGGACTACAATAATGTTACACTCTCCGTCACATTTCAAGGATCTGTGTGCGGTTTACGATAGTTGACCGGTGATAAAGTTACGCTTCCCTAATAATAGTATACTCCCTCCGTCCCGTTAGAAGGTTCTCACATTCCTTTTTTGGACGTCCCATTAGAAGGTTCCCATTTCTATTTTAGGAAACAATTAACAATCTTAAGTGACAAATTAGTCATTAATTATTAAAAATTATACATTTATAACATCACAGTTATCAGTACCAACACATTATAATATATACCTATTAAAATTATTTCTCAAAATATACCCGAAGTACTTTATTTAATTATCACCTAAATAATCGTGCCGTTTTGCTATGGGAACCTTCTAGCGGGACGGAGGTAGTATATATATATATATATATATATATATATAGAGAGAGAGAGAGAGAGAGAGAGGACAATTCATGTCCAGCCGGCCTGACGGGAACAGCCGTCCGGCCAAAGCCGTTAGGGGGCCTTCCTGATGGATTTTTTTGATGAAATTTTTTGAGCATGTTCTTCATCAAGTGTAGTTTATGCCCACCAAATTTCAGCTAAAAATTCAATTGGGAAGGCAGTCAAATGTGTAATTGAAAAACACTGCGTTGTTTATATATGTATAAAGCGTAGTGTCCTTAACAAATTTATTTAACTGCCTTTCCGATTGAATTTGTAACTGAAATTTGGTGGGTATAAACTAGATTTGATGAAGAACATGCTAAAAAAGTATCAAAAAATTCCACCGGGAATGACCCCAAATGGCCTCGGTTGGACGGCGGTTCCCGTCAGGCCGGCTGGACAGGAACGCTACTCTCTCTATATATATTTTCCACCCCAATAACAGTATATATGTATGTATTTATGTATGTATAAAACTTATACTTGACTCTCGCAGGTGGGCATTCTTGATCATTTCGGTCTTCTTGTTTATTATAGCTGGAATTTCTAATTTTAATTACATCTTTTGATCCAAAAGTCGATTTTTTAAATGATTAGAATTTATTATCTAAAGTCACAGGCCTACAGGTTAATAGAGAGTTAAGTTGACCGAGTGAATAGTGAATGAGAACGTTGAACTAGGACTTGTGGAGTATATGACTTATAAGCGCGGTTGGGAATTGGGATATTGCAGTCTCGTAAACGTTAAAAACTTGACCTCGTCAAAGCCTTATGGTTACAGCTGGAACTATATAGTCTTACTGATGAGGTTAAACCCTCTTTTTATACTATTTAAAAATCTTTGTGATCAAGCAAATAGAGTCATTATATATTACAATATTCCTATAAGGAATATGCACTAAAAAAGAATACCAATTCAAGTAAGAAAACTAATACTTGTACTAAAACATAATATTAGGCTTTGTCTATTATTTAGTGCAAAACCAGCACTAGGGAGGAATTCAAACCATTTGACGCTCTGACTCTGACCTTTCTTTCCCTCTAAATGTTCAAGCAGTCAAAACCTTCTGATGAGGGACCCCAGCTTTCACAGAAAAATGTAGAGTCTAGTGTACAAAAGTGCCAAGAAACTGGTGACCTGAGGCCCCTGTGTGCATTAGGAGATCAAGTAATCAATGGCATCCGAACAACAATGAAACCCAAGCTGGTAAGTGATAAAAATGGAGAGAATCATGGCAGTAGTGTTTATGGAAAGGAAAAAGATACAGAATCATGGATAGATGCTGAGGAACTTGTAGGTACAGGAGATTGTGGACATATTTTTGAAGAAGATCCAAAGGTCATTGGTTCTCTTGAAATTCGAGGCTATTGTATGCCAGGTTCAAAAAATCATCAATTTGTGTTGCAAGAAAGATCATCAACACATGCCATGGATACATTTAGGCGGGGAATTGTGGCTATTAATTCTTCTGAAGTAGACAAGGGGAATGACTTTGTAATCTCATTTGAAGGTTCATTTTCTGACTGTGGGTCTAGGGATGCTTATATATGTGGTGGTGAAAAGACAATATCAAATAATCATGCAAGTGGTATGCAGGAAGTTAAATGCTTTCCTGAGGAGCCATCTGATAACTGCTTAAGTGAGTTAAGTAGAGAATTTGTGAACCATGGTTTTGGTTCTCTAGCTTCTGTAGATCCAAATGTCACCAGGTTAACCAGTTCTGAAGTAGAAAAAGAGAACTTGGCTTTCCCAATTGAGGACTTTCATATTCTTTCTTCTGAAGACAATATTATCAGAAACAAGGGAAGTGACATCTCAGAAATACGAGATTTTGTACTTCACGCCTCAAATGATATCATGTCCGCTCAAAGTTGGAAGAATACAATTCATGAGCATTTAATTGAAACATGTTCAGCAAAGGAAAGAGAAAAATGTTCCAACAATATTAACAAGGGCAATCAAACAGTTAAGCCGAATGGCAGTAGGTTTCTTGAGGACTCCCACACATGTGATTTAATTATTGCCCCTGAGAATGTAGACCATTGTAATGCCATCTCAGCTGAGAAACTAATACCGTCAGATATGCACAGTGATGTTTGTGGAAGTGAAGAAGTAAGATCAAGTGCCTCTGATGTGGACTCTACTGGAGAAACTGACACTAAAACAGATGCATTTGATGCCGGTTCATCTATTGAAGATAAACCATTGTCTTGTGTAGGAAACCATTCTTTGCCTGAAGAATTTGAGCTTCTTCCAAACAGTGTGTTACTTTTTGATGCAGAGCTTAATGAACATTCTGCATCTTTGAATACTGATTCATCAAAAGTAAGCAATATTTCAAGAAGAAACCATGGAGTACATTTGCAAGATCAGAGTATTATGGGAAATGAATCTGAAGTGAGAAACTCCATAATCATCAATTGTCATGCTAGTGCCAAATGTCTCGCTAACAATAGGGATGATGTTGTGTCAAAGTAAGTAACCTTATCTATCTTGCTCCTTTTATTTCTACAATTGCTGCTTCTCCTTTATCTCTAGGTTTGTAACAAGTAATAGTTATGGAGGATTCTTTTTTTCCTTTTGTTTCTGGCAGAAAGAGAATCGAGGATGGTAAGAAAAAAAGTAACCTTAGCTTAGTACCCCCACGAAATGCAGTTCCATTTTCCGATGAGTGGTTGGCTGCTATTGAAGCAGCTGGAGAGGTAAATACTTTAAATTAGGAGTTTTATCAATTCGGGACCTGAAAGATAGATGAATTATCAATTCGGGACCTGAAAGATTAAATGTATCGGTATAGGACCGGAATGATGCAAAACTATCAATCTAGGACCTAACATTTCATAGGTTTTGATTTATTTAATTTTTTATTAATTTATTAATTCCATTGCTAATATTTGGTGATTCTTTCTTCACAAAAGTTTATTAGTTTAATAAAACCAAGTATTATTTAATTTTTTAAAAATAAAAAAAGTAATAAAATTTATGAAAACTTAGGTTCTAAATTGATAGTTTTCAATCATTCGAGTCCTAGATTCATAGTTTTGCATCATTCGGGTCCTATACTGATACATTTCATCTTTCAGGTCCCGCATTGATAACTCATCTATCTTTCAAGTTTAATACATTTAACTGGATACACGTGCAAAACTGAAAATTAAGTTAATAGTTCTTCTGTCTTTGATTAGTGATATTTTCACTGTCTTTGATTTGAGTTCTGTCTATTTTTACTTCTGAAGGTTTTCCAAAGCATGTTTTGTTGACACCAATAGTTCTATCCTTACAGGATGTTTTAACCATGAAAGGTGGTGCTGTGCAAAATTCACCCCCTGATAAACCTCGACCTGAGCCAAATCCATGGTCACCGGTATGTCAACCATTTACTGGCTGAGAAGTGAGAAGCATATTATAATTCACTTATGTTTAATTAATTTTCAGGTGAGGAAAAACAATGAAGTTGGACCTTATGATTGTACAAAGTTTGCACGTATTAAGGCTGCTGGACATTCTGAGTCGCAAGTAAACTAAACTAGGTTAGAGGCTGGGCATTTGTTTGATTACACCTTAACAAGACCACTCAAATAAAGGGACCTGTAAAGCGCCTTCCATAGGGAGTCCCCAAGGGACCGGGGTTGACAATTTGACATTTTAGGAGCAGAATGCTAAACCATGACAAGTGTAATTTTACTGAACTACTTCCGTGAAGTGAAATGAATGCAATAGCAAATCTCTTGAATACCACTATATTTCCTTCTTCTCTTCTTAACTATCCGTAATGTCACAGAATTAAGGGTTTATGTTAATGGCCCGTTTGAATGGGCCGTATCTTTTTCCAGTTTCCTTTGTCATATTTATTGCCTTAGATGAGTGAAAGTAATTTGATTAATTTCAAATTCATTCAGAGTTTTTCTGAATTAGTAAGGTACGTTTTGGATTTGAAATTGCGTCCAAAACTACGTTGTCAAAACTCAAAACTGGATTGGAAGGTTCAAGTGTCAACACTGGATTGGAAGGCACAAGTGATCGGTTCAAGTGTCAATCTAAACCCGGAGAATCAGCTCTGTCAACGGATGTAGAGTTGTAGACTTGGTAAATGTTTACTACAAATAAAATATAAAATATTTATAACTATAAATCATATTTCCTCTGTTATATTTATAACTATAAATCGTATTTATAACTTGGTCAACGCTTCCATTATATGCAGGTTAAGAGTGTTAACATGAACACCCAAAAATCCCATATTCTTTTAACCAAAACTATGTTTGGAGAACAAACTTAAACCGCCTTAGATTCCTTAAACCATCCCATATTCTTAGAGAACTAGAGCTTCCTGCTGCCCTAGCCGCTCGAAGAGTGCTCACTCCTTCGGACTCCAGTGATGATGTCAGTGATGATGTCCAGTGCCCGGTGGTCCTCTACCTCGCGATTTCTCATTCGTTGGTAATTCAAAATTTCCAGCTTCGCAGTTCGCTCCATCTCGCGAGTTGCAGTGGTTCCAATCGGCACCAGTGCACCAACGGTCCACTCTCTGTAACCATTGGATGGAAGGCAATGTCCACATAGTTAGTGGTTAGCCTCCACATTTTGTTAGGTAGACGCCCTAGAGATGGCAACAGGGCGGATCTCAGACGGTTATACATATAACTGTACCCGCCCCGTTGGATAACTCCCCCGCCTCATAACTGCCCCATTACCCAACATGTAATTTTTATCCAAATCATAACCGCTTCAATGGGTAACAAGGTATAACCGCGGGTAACCACGAGTAACCACTTTATTAAATGTGTCATTGATATTTTAATATAAAAATTAATATTTTAAAGGACAAAAAATGATATCACCTAAACGACTATAGACGTGAGTTGTTGCTTAAAAGTTTCGTACATCTACATGACAAGAAAGAAGACCACCTAAATTAATTTGAACATAAAATACTTAAATCGAAAAATAATATAATAAATCAAGAAAAATTGATAGGAATCAAACGAGACTATTAAAATTGATTATGAACTTTTATTCATATATTATGCGTAGTAATTAGTGCATCCATATATACACAATGAAAAGAGAAAAACTCATATTTTATCTGGGACAAATAATAGGAAAAAGTGTAAACAAGATAAAACTAAAAATAAATCGGCGGGTACGGGGGCAAGCATGTATAAAACCGTAACGGCCCCGTTACCCATAAAAATAAAACGGGTATTCCCCGCCCTATACCCGTTACCCGGTCAATGCGGTTTTCCCCGTTTTGACCGGAGAGGTTCGTGCGGGTATCCATCGGATCGGTCACAATTGTCATCCTTGGGTATACCGCTGCTTACTGTTTTGTTCAATTTATTGATCTTTTACTCAACATTTGCTCAAGAGTTTGCTTAATTTATTTGTTGGTGTTGACTGGGGTTTGTCTTATTTTATTTGTGTTAATTATTTATCAATATGAATACTGTTTATTTAAAAAGGTTTGCAAATATCCTTTCAAAAAAAAAAAGGTTTGCAAATATATACATAGTATAATGGAAAATCCACTATATTTTGATTTGACATTATAACTCAAAGGACAATTCTTAATTTTAAATTTAAAGTAATTTTGAACACTTAAATTGTAAATGCTAGATCCGTCACTGATTATATGGATGCATAACATGCTACATTCTTTATTTTTTATGGATGCTTTGCATATCTACATTGAGCAGAACAACCTGTTAAGGGCAAAATTCAGAAACGTTAAAAGACACAAAATAAAGTTGAAAAGTATGTCACAAATACAATATGCATTTCCTCGAAAAAAAACACTGGGCATACAACATGCATTTTTGAGGGGGAAAAAACACATTGGGCATTTACCCACTCACGCAATGCACGTGGAATAACTAGTTTATAAAGAAGAGTGGAGAAGAGTTGTGCAAGAAGAGATGCAATCCTTGCATGAGAATAACACATGAATTGATGGGGCTCCCAAAAGGGAGAAGGCCTTAAAGAATAGGTGAGTGTACTGAAGAAAGATTGAAGATAGTAGATTAGTAGCTCAAAGCCTCGCTATAAAAATCGGTTAATCGTCAAAGGATTTGGTCAACATAAAGGAATTCACTTTAATGAAATATGTTCTCCCGTTGTAATTTAAAGATGTGATTCACCCGAGTTGTTTTTGGCCTAGCAACAGTCTAAGATTTAAAGATTGAACAACTCGATATCAAGACAGTGTTTCTTCATGGTGACCTAGAGGAAGATATTTGTTAGAAAATTCATGTAACGTACCTCGAAAGTACAACGACGGAAGTTTAAAATTTTCCCAAACAGGTTTTCTCAGATTATGACAAAACAACGAATATAACAATAATAACATATTTGAGTTAGAACTTACAGATCTTTCAGTCTAGCGGTGATAATCCTTGACCTTAAATATCCACGTGATTTCTCCTTTCTGAAAGAACGGTTAGATACCACTAAGAGAAAGACTAGGAAATCTCTTCGTAGGAAAATAAACTAGTAATACTGAATCTAGAAAACCGATCTCATAATTATGGAGGAGGAGGATGTATTTATACTACTAGTTCTAAACTAATTTCCCAATCACAGTAAAAGTTTCCCTTATTAATGAGTTCTATTATGACCAATACTCATTAATAATTAAATAAGATAATAAAAAAATAAAATAAAAAGCAAAACATTAAAGTTTGGAAGATGGGATGCACAACACTCCCATTTCAACTTTAACAATTTTACTTATTATTTTCTTTTGCTTTATTTCAATTTTAAATTGTACCAAAACATATCAATTTTATTTAATTAAAAATACATCTTAATTAAGTATAATAAATCGAATTTATTCTACTTAATTATTTCTTTCAAATAGAACTTTTCTTCAATTTTATGAGTTAAATATGTTTAATCTAAATAATATTTAATCTATTTTCAGTATTTCGAATTAAATATTATTTAATCCAATTAATATTTAATACCTTTTAACAATTCAGTCAGAAGGTATAATCACTTATTGTGTGACCCATAGGGCCTTATATATTAAGCACTAATCAAATAAAGGTCTTAGTAGAATCCCTAGACGATTTATCAGACAAACTTAATATATAAGAACATTTGCGAGGACTATTCAAACTCTCTGTAATATAGATCTCATAGTGATACTGTCTTTTCATTCAAAGAACATTCAACTAAGTAGGGACTTAAAAAATGTAGTATGCTGCAATCACTGTTCTAAAAATCGGCCTAGGCGGCTCTAACTGTTGTCAGCCTAGTCGGCCTAGTCTGTCAAAAAATCAGCCTAGTCGGCCAAAAAATCGGCCTAGTCGGCCGCCTAGGCGCTAGGCGCCCCTCAACCGCCCGACTAGCGCCTAGCGAGTTTTAGAACAATGACTGCAATTTATCAAAATTTTCTCTAATTTTGTAGGTATACAAAATTCTGTGCACGATGACTCCATCTTTCAATTAAGAAGCACAATTGAATCAGAGGACCCTACATCTATCTCCAAACTGATCTTAAATTATCAGATTCAGGGCGAGTGCACCAATAATCAAAATGTCTTATCTTCAGAGAAACAGGCTCAACCAATGATTCAGGCTTATTTAGACGCCTTTGACAGTTTTGATTATTCAGATGAATCTTTCTACAGAGACGACTTTCTAGGACATGCAACCGAAAGCGATCGTCATCCTCCTATTTCATACCCTGAATAAATTAGGAAATCCAAATTCAACAGTGCAATTTGCTGCAAAGCAAATTTTGTAACTTCTGAAAATTGTCTACCAACAGACAATTTAAACACGGAGCTGAAGATCTACAGGAAATCTCAAAAAAAGAAAAGGCGCCACAATATGAGGACTAGGTCACAGTCTAGAGATTTTTCTTGGGAGTAGCTTTCGTTTTTATTTCCTTTCTTTTTATGTACTTTTTTTTACTTCCTTTCTCGCTTTGTATGTTTTCCTTTATTCAATAAAATCCACTTTTCTCTAAAAAAAAAATATTAAAATACCATTTCAAGATACTCTTGAGAAAAAAGGAACATTCAACTAAGTCTAGAACATGATATTGTGCCTTTTCCAATAACTTAGTCCCTGTCTCTCAATCTTTCTAGATGATCTATAACGATCATATTCGATATCCAAAATGATTATATCTTTGCATTGACCAATGACTTTATGATCCATCTAGATATGAGAAGTAGAAAGTTCTCTCTTAATCTACTATGAGGAATGAATTCTTTCTTGGCTCAACTACTACTCCATGTGCTTCATGATGTACCCAACTCATGTCGTATCTACCCTGATTAGAGTGCAAGCGTTGGTCATGGTCAAAGTACATCACTCCGCACATGCAGTACGTATTGACCTCAAGTCGGAGGACTAGTACACTACTCTCTCTATATGGCGATAAATCCCATAGACACATGAATAGAACTAATCAAATGGTTTCTAGGTGGGTATGTCAATACTCTCTAAAGTATCTATGTGACCACATGAATTACAATAACTCATAGTTGTTAGATCAATTGATGTAGTCCACATACCAATCTTATCGCAAATCATCAATATCCCTTTCTTGATAATCATTGATTGAGGCTATTTTGGGACATTCTGTTATATCATATAAGCTCCCACTTACTTAGTGACAACACAAGTCCAAGAGAACACAATTATGAATAAAACATTAACATTCGAAAACAATCATTCATGAAGTGTAATACCGTGCATATATCAAATATAAAATCTGAATGTGATCAAGTACATATGTCACTAAAAAAATGATTTCCTCCTAGGACATACATACTAACAATATCTACATAGAGTAGCCTAAGCGATTCAATGTACCAGACA